CAAGTGGGGGCGGTGGGGTAGCCTAGTGGTTAAAGCGTTGGCTCATCACGCCGAAGACCTGGGTTCGAATCCCCACATGGGTACAATGTGTGAAGCCCATTTCTAGTGTCCCCCGCTGTGATGTTGCTTGAATATTGCTAAAAGCGGCGTAAAACCAAACTCAGTTAGTCAGTCAGTCTTGTCCAGTGTGGGGGGGGTTGGGGTACCTTGTGATCCATCATCAAGCATTTGCTTGTCATGCCAAAGACCTGGGTTCAATTCCCCACATTGGTACAATATTTGAAGCCCATTTCTGGTGTCCCTGGCATGGCTTGAATATTGCTAAAAGCGGCATAAAACTAAACTCACGCTTGTCCAATAATATGTCTTTATTTGAATAATCCTCTTATCTATTTAAAACAAAACACATTTCTTATTGTCATAGTTTTTCTGATTGATAACAATTCAGGTGACAAAATGTCAGGAAAGATTGAGAAAATTATATCAATTATATTTTCTCATAGTCCAGAAATAACATCTGATGCTCAGCATCCAGATTAAACAGTTTTTAACTGAAATTAGAGAAATGTTGTCATGTTTGTTCATCAGCAACAAATATAGTATGCACTCTTTGAACGACATTTAGAAGTGATGCACATTAAGGGAAAGTTTATGGATGACAAGTTCTGTAATATGAATAGCATGATGTTCGAGAGTATATTCTTACCCCTTCACAAGGTAGCGTATATACTCTGAAACATTATGTTCTTCACATCACAGAAGTTGACATCTAAGGCTTTTCCCCTATAAATACAGTATGGTTACTAATACATGACACACTCTAGAAGCTAAAGAGAAACAGCTCACTGTTGATATTAACATCAATGAGAGTGTCATTGGCATCACAGGGATTAGTCAGAACAGCTTTCTTAATTTCAAACAGTTGTAGGAAACTAGCATGTGTGCATGTTGTGGCAACATGGAGGAATGATGTCACCACAGTTACTGAGTGTGATCTATGGCGGGGACGGATTCTATTTCGTCCACCATTGCAACAAGTCACTGTACAAACATTTCGTAACTGGGTCAAGATCAAAGCATTGGAAAGTAGTTTTATTTATTGAATGCTGGAATTGTGAGTCACTGAAAGAAAATATTGCACTTCAAGATTAGCTCACAACATGCTCAGGTCGCTGATCGATTGAGCAAGCTTTTCTGAGTGTGTTGTATGTGTCTGAACGTCAATGATGGCGTGACGTGGGATATTACACCAGGTGTATTGGTTTTGAACCACACCTAATGATTGCTGGCGGAATGTACAGCATGGCTGGTGTCATTGTTAGACACAATGACCATGTTCAGTGTTAGCATGTTAGTCATGCAGTCATGCAGTCCTGTAATGTTAAAAGTTAATGATGAAAGAGGACCCTATATTCAATCAGCAGTGAAAGATCTAGGATTCGGGACCTCCCTGTTCTGTGTACAGTGCAGTAGGGTTGTTTTATCTTATGAGACTGCCACGTGGAAGGCTGGTGGGTTATCTGGTGGTGGGGTAGCCTAGTGGTTTAAGTGTTTGCTTGTCACGTCAAAGACCCAGGTTTGATTCCCTACATGGGTACAATGTGTGAAGCCCATTTATGTTGCTATCCGCTGTGATATTGCGGGAATATTGCTAAAAGTGGCGTAAAACTAAACACACTTACTCACTGGTGGGTGTTCCATAGACTGACATTTATTCCTAAACACACACACACACCCCAAAAAAAAAGAAAAGAAAAAAGGAAGGTTATTTAATTAAAAAATATTTAAAATGTTTATCTACAAAACGAATCAAAATGGATTCCAGGGCAATCCTTAATTTCTGACCCAAGACCCTAATTATATTTAATACATTCTCTAGGGTCTGGGGACAGACTTCCACACAAAATAATTGTTTAGAGATGGTATTGCTTTGACTCGGTTGGTTGTTGGTATTCAGCATTAACAGAATAAAACCAGGAATGGTTGGCTCAGAGTCGGTATACTGTGTCTCAGGGGTATTCTGGTTAAAACTGCAACAGATTCTCAGTGGGCTAGCACCTTACAACTAACACTAGATTAACACTAAGTCTCTGAATATATATAGAATTTTGTAACAAACAAGCCCATATAATTTGAAAAGGAGCCCCAGGGCGACCAGAGATTCAGAACCTAAACCTTAGGAAATCTAGACTTGCTTTATTTAGGGCTTTATCACTGAAGATAGGGCTTAGCAGTAGGGAAAATAGTGTGGTTCAGGGACTGTGAGACAGACTAAACTAGGAGTCTAGTAGGACTAGTACCGACGGGAACAAACAACCGCAGTTCACTTTAACATATCTCTAATAGTACAATCATTATGACGTTTAACCCCATTTCACCCTGGCTTCTATCTCATTGCGATGCTGATACATTTGTATGCACTGACTTGTGTCATGTGACTTCTGATCAGGAAATTTTACCAATTGTCGTTATCAATATGATCTGATATGCATATGCGGCGTTTCTGATATAGTAGCTGCAACAGTGACACCATGTTATGTCTGCAGACACAGCTAACATGGATTTATCTCGACTCCTATTCAGCCCAAATCTGACGCAAATGTCAGTTGTAACTCCAAATTAAAATTGAATATTTCCAAATCATGCTACTAGCCTCACAACTAATGTTATATTTCTTTAGTAATAGTATTCCACTGATACTGATAACAGAATCAATAAAGAAGAGGACTTAATCATTTGTTTATATCATATGAACATGCTGAATTCAAACTTAACCTACTGTATTGGAAATACATAATGAATTTCGTAAATTTATAACTGTGAAATAAATTTAAAAAATTAATCAAAATTAAAATTCCCTAAATTTGTCCACTATGAGCATTTAGTTCTGAATTCCAGATAAATCCCAGGATAGATTATGAAACACCATGAACTCATTAATAATAATAATAATAAATAATAATAATAATAATAATAATAATAATAATAATAATAAATGTGAACTTATAGTGTGCCTTTTCCATGCACAAGGCACATGCTCAAAGCACTAACAAAGTGGGTGGATAATAAACATATATACAAATTTGGGGGACTAGTAGTTAGTCATTAATATATGCTTATTCATCTTAGCATAAATATTGGAAATTAAACACAATCCACATATTAGTTTGGGTAAAGTATGGAATAGCAGCATTAGAACCCAACTAACTGTGAGGAATTTGTCGTCTTCATGTACAATATTATGGTTCTAGTTATCAAGACCAGATTTGGGATTGCTGTTTATAATATTATGTCAGTTTAAACACGAGGTGACTATGCGGAAAGCAACATATTCTTTTCTTTGTTAAGAGATTGCAGAAGATTATGTATTAAGAGTGGTAAACATCTTCGTGGTGATCGAACTAACATATTCATTACTTTTTAAGAAGTTGGACAAGATTGCGTCGTGTGTGTGGTAAATATGTTCATAATGGTGGAGCTCACTTGTGAGTCACCTGTTGACATCTGTCGTGAGGTTTGTGTTGTGTTGTGTTGTGTTATGTAGCTACCATATCACTACACATCCCTCGACCGCCTCCGTGGTGTAGTGGTTACCGCGTCCGCCTGGAGAGCGGAAGGACGCAGGTTCGATCCCCGACCGCATCATACCAAACAACGTTAAAATATGGCTCGGCATTAATGGGTACAACAAGGACTGGTCGGCTCAGAGTCAGTATAATGTGTCTGAGTGGGGTATTCATGCTTCACTGCGGCATGGTATCTCAGTGGGCTAGCACTATAAAAACCAGCTTAGGTCTGGGCTAGTACAAGCAGCCGCACATACACATACACACGGATGCATGTCGTCATATGAGCAAAATATTCTCAAGCATGACGTTAAACCCAATTTCACCTCACCTCACCTCACCTACACATCCCTCACTTGTTTACTTCCTGATCGACGTGTTCATGAGGGTATGTTGTAAGAGTTTCGATGACTAGATCCGCAGTGTCACAGTTACATATGAAGATTGTGTCCAGAAGTACTCCTGGTATGACTGATGCATGTATTGATCCTTGAACCTGGTATTGTGCTGTAACGCACTGATTTCCAGAACTGTTGTACTGTCATAGTCGTAGGTAGAACCCGTTGACAAGTCTTGTAAATAGCCCTACTATGCCCATAACAATAGAAACTCCCATGTACCATAACCACAAGAAGTAAAATCACAACTATCCCTCCTACAACAAAAAATCCACAGCTATCCCTGATACAACAGAAACAGCACAACTACCCCAGCCATGACAGAAAACCCACAACTACCCCAACCACAAAAGTAAATCCACAACTACCCCTGCCACGACAGAAACTCTTGAAATACCCCAAGCACAACAGAAAACCCACAACTGTCCCTCCCACCAGAGAAATCTCGCAGATTTCCAAAACAAATTTTCCCAACCATATCGAAGCACCACAGTATTTCTTTAGTTTGACACTTCAAATGTCTCAACTTTTTGAGAATTACAAAGCTTATCATACAGAATAACTTGGATTGTCTGTCCCTTGTGAATGAATGCTATTATTCCCTAACCAAAGGCTCTACTACAGATAAACTGTAATTTGTTGTAGCACTTTGGTTATCGTCAATGGCTTACCTGTATTGCTAACATGTTGCATGGGGCGGTGGGGTAGCCTAGTGGTTAAAGCGTTCGCTCGTCATGCCGAAGGCCCGGGTTCGATTCCCCACATGGGTACAACTTGTGAAGCCCATTTCTGGTGTCCCCCGCCGTGATATTGCTGGAATATTGCTAAAAGGGGCGTAAAATCAGCCAGCTAACTGGTTGCACAGCCTTGCTATCTGTGGACCAATGGTTCTGTCTACTAAAAGGTCAAGAGGTGAAAATGCTCTACTGTGCATGATAGCTGGAGCAATCCAGTTCCCAATAACTACACTGAAAATGTGCTTTTAAATAGCCTTTGTATTCAATTGGTCTTTTCAATCTACAATTCTCTTTTACAGCCCTTGCTTCCGACATCGTGTTCATCCCAGCCTCTGAGCTCACAGGATTGACCAATCATGAAGCAGACAGCAGGTCACCTGATCAGAGCCTCGACTCCCACACCAATATCCCAATGCCAGTGTCCCCCCAGATCAAGCGAGTGGTGCTTGAGTCCCCCATGGTCAGCAGCGGAGAGGAGGAGGTGTCGTTTGATGAGGTATGTAAACTGGAATGTGATTGGTTCTTGTGATGGTGCCATTGTTATATGGCTGAGATTTTGCCAATTTAATAATAATAATGGCCATTTATAAAGCGCCTGTTTCCATGCACCTGCGCATACTCAAAGCGCTAACACAATATTACCCTGGATAACCCAAACTGCCTGTGAGGTCATATGACATCCCACCGGGTACCCCTTAACTGATGGGTGAACAGGCAGTTATGAACAAACTCACTTGCCAAGGTGAAACCACATGTTTCACATGTGCTTGATGTTAAGGTTTAACTCACTCACCCAGTTTACTTATGTCATTCACAAGAGGCATTGCATGGTGCCTATTTGGGCAAGGCTCTACATTAACCTGAGTTGTTCGTTTGGTTCACATCCCAGTCACCATTATAATCCTTAGTTGTGTCAGCATAACTGTTGGTTTTGCTTCATTCATCCCTGTGATGTCCTTTCCATCCTGATGATGGGAATGGATTGGAATTTATGTGGAGTTGATCGAAAAAATAGTGCACAGAACAAATTTTACCTCAGGTTTTTCTCTCAAAACAAATGTCCACTTCTACATGTCTCATCCTCTCAGAATAATGTTTGAAAATGTCTTGAAGCAGAGGTGTTTTATGGATAGCAAATGTCCAAGGCCCTTAAAATTTAGAATGGTCAGTCTCTTATCAAACCTTGACTAGACAAAAAGTGTGATCTTGAGCATATCAGAGGTGTTTTGCTGATATCAGATGTCCAAGGCCCTCTGTATGTCCTTCAGTCTACCTTGCTCCCCAGTTGTCCTTGTGTTTGTATCCCAAAATCCTAGGGTTGTATAAATCTGTATGTCCTTCAGTCTACCTTGCTCCCCAGTTGTCCTTGTGTTTGTATCCCACCTCCCATGAATCCTAGGGTTGTATAAAATCCTTCCCAGAATCCTAGGGTTGTATAAATCTGTATGTCCTTCAGTCTACCTTGCTCCCCAGTTGTCCTTGTGTTTGTATCCCACCTCCCATGAATCCTAGGGTGTATCCCACCTCCCATGAATCCTCTGTATGTCCTTCAGTCAGTCTGCCTTGCTCCCCAGTTGTCCTTGTGTTTGTATCCCACCTCCCATGAATCCTAGGGTGGTATAGTCTACCTTGCTCCCCATTGATATAAATCTGTGTATCCTTCAGACTGACGGTGCACCGGAAGAGTTGTCTGCCCGTGACAAGCTGCTGCAGATGAGACAGTACATTGTGAAAGGGGTGCTGGAGAGTGAGAAGAGTTACCTCGCCATCCTCGAACTTCTTATCCATGTAAGTTCACGCTAACGCCAAAGTGCTGAATTAATAACACCATATTAGGTGGCCTTTATGATATTGATGTATCGGTATAAATTCTAACTGTCATTGGTACAAAGTGATGAATATCAGAAAATTCAGTTTTAAACATTTAAGGGATCAGCCTTGTTCATATTTTGATTCAAGTGGATGAATTTGCAGGACTGCTTTTTTGCATTATCTCTACAAAAAAAAAAATCAAATCAAATTTTATTATATATCAATATGTCGTGATACTTTTATAGTGATATGGCATGATACTTAGCAATTTACAACTGTATGAACACTAAAAGTTTCAGTCACTGACACCCCTAATAATATCTTATGGGATATTATTACAAGATGTCTATGATGGTCTCCATTTTTGTCTGGGAAAGAAATTGGGTCCCAATTGGGCTCAAAATGGAGACGGCTTCATTTTATATTCACATGAACAGAAAGTTGACCTTCTGATGTTGATCACTGGATATAGGTTCGATTCCCCACATGGGTACAGTGTGTGAAGCCTATTTCTGGTGTCCCCTGCCGTGCTATTGTTGGAATATTGCTAAAAGTGGTGTAAAAATAAACTCGCTCACTCACTCACTGATGAGATATGACGTTCCTCGTTTCAGTACAAGAGGTCACTAGAGGCGTCAAGTCAGACCTCGAAACCTGTAATCTCAGAGGAGGATAACAATGCCATCTTCTTCAACATCAAGAAACTGTACGCCATTCACCAGGAGTTTGTCAAGGAACTGGAGCCAAAGGTCAACAACTGGTCACATGACCAGAAAATTGGAGAAATCTTCAAAATGATGGTACGTAATGTTAAGCTATGCTTCAACTAGTCAGGTAGTCTAGGTGGTGAAGTATTTGCTTGTCATGCTGAACACTCAGGATCGATTCCCAGTGATGAAATCTATCTTTGTGTCCATGGTGGTCTGACCCGTGAAGATCCGGGGTTAGAATTGGTCTTCAGTAACCCATGCTTGTCGTAAGAGGCGACTGACGGGATCAGGTGGTCAGGCTTGGTGACGTTGTTGACACATGTCATTGAATCCCAACTGTGTAAATCGATGTTCATGATGTTGATCACTGGATATAGCTGGAATATTCCTGAGTGCGGTGTTAAATAACAAACATTTGCCTGGTCACATCTTTGTGTTATACTGCTACTGTTCCCTGTATTGGTCATCGCTGTGGATCTCCTAACTATGGGCAGTAGGGTAGCCTTGTGGTTCAAGTGTTTGCTTGTCTCACTGAATTCCCAGGTTTGATTTCCAAATGTGCGATATCGACTCTTGATGTACCTGGTTAATTTCTAAAACCAAACATGAAGCTGACCCTTAGTGTAAGTTAAACATCATTCAGCTTGTTTCTGCACATGGGAGGAAATATTTTCATGTTATCCCAAGATGGGGAAAGCCATGTTGCGTAATTATATCAGCATTGATTTCAAGTGTAAATTTGGCTGTGTAACTGGGCCAACAATTTGTTGGCAATGTTAAGGATAGTCTTCAGTAACCACTGTTAATATGTACAACACTGTTCTAACATGGCATGTCTCGACAAGCAAGTCAGTAATGTTTTCTAGTGGTTTGGATTGTGCCGGTTTTGCCTTTAAATGGCATTTATAGTCCGTCAACTGAACTTTTGGCACCCTGTTTTTCACAATTTACCTTTTAACCAAAAATGCCTTCAAAATGTTTTTAGGCATGCGCTCTTTATATCTTATGACCTATCTAAGGTTTAAATTTCATAATTTTATGTCAATTATTAAAGCTTCTTCTTAAGAAGCCATCTTATAAAAATATGAAAAATAGAAGTAGTTATACAAGGAAGTAAAATGATACGATGGAACAGCAAACAGCATGGTGTGACACGCGAGCATCTTGTTTACATTGTTATGCCTGCAAGCAAATCTAAGGGACTGTATAATCATCACAAATCCATTTTAAACAAGTAGATTTATTGATTTGCATATGGTGTGCTTTGATACATTGATGTCATGGTCTTCTTTTGAACAATACTTTCTTCAGTTTGCTTGACGATATGGACTCACTGGATCGATTTAACTGACGCATGACGTCCCTCACAACCCTTCTATCGAATTCATCAAGCTATCTTTTCTTTGCATGTTTTGAGACGGTCCCCGATTTAACTGCCATGTCATCGTCAGTCTCTGAAATAGTGTCATGGGAGATAACTCTCTGCTATGTTCTCTTGCAGATCTTGGTGGCATTAAGTGTCTTTTGGAGAAACACTCAATTGAAAAAAGAGGGGTTTTTTTCACTTTGCCTTGCGCTTGAAAAAGTTGTAAACTCTTTTGATGATTTACCGGTCATCTTTGTACAACATCGTTTTTACCACAACCTGTGTGTTGACGATCTTTGACATCACTTGAGCGTGCTAATGTAAATACCCGTGCATGTACATATCACGCTGACACACATTTTACAATGTTGTTGGCTTTTCCATACGTACGTTAACCCCTCGTAAAACTCTCCACAGTTTTACAATTATTATATGACAGGTTTAAATGCAAAATCTTTAATAATCCTTTTAAAATTACTAAAATCGATATCTTGTTAGGTCACGGTATACAATTACCATATGAACAGAGTAGCGGTTTAAAATATTCAGGAGTTTTATGTAAATTGAGAAAAACAGGGTGCAAAAAGTTAAGTTGACGGACTATAGAAGTGATACACATGATGGAAAGAAATTATGATTGTCAACTTCTTAATTTTGAGTAACACACAATCAACATACATGGAAACACATTCATCAGGTAAATGAATGCTAACACACACATAACAACAAGTAATAAGATAAGAACAGTGTTGTTAAATAAATTTGTGGATTCATTTCAGAGAAAGATCATATGGATTTGGTACAGTAATGTACTTGTTCAGTCAAACTTGATTTGTCATGGAAATTTAATTAGGACTCTTCCTTTTTAATTAAGAATTTGAATGGTTTTGTTAATACATTGTTTTTGTCAGAGATGTTTGTTTTCATAATTGGCCATTTCTTGTGTCCCCCACCATGACATTGCTGGAATATTGCTAAAAGCGGCATAAAACTAAACTCACTCACTCACTCACTCTATTCATAATTATCAAACTGTGTTTCTTTTCTACCTTGTGTAACCTCCTGAAGTAAGGGTGAGGGACTAAGTGAGTGAGTTAAAATGTAAAGTAACTTTGGCAATATTTCAGCCATATCATTGCTAAACCAGGTCATATTTAAATACTTTATAATGTTATACCCTAATGTAAGGAAACTTGATAATTTGTTATCACTGTTGTTCTGAACACCAGGTGTTCCAGTTCCCCGAGTTTGGCAAGTACATGAAGAACTACCAGGTGGCTGTGAACACCATACACAGGTGCTCCCAGGAAAACCCACAGTTCATGGAGATCGCAGGGGTGAGTAGAGTTATTTCAAACTATGAACCTTTCTGTTTGGCCCTGTTTTATGGAATAAAGAAAGAGGTGGGTATCCTCCCATTCCCAAGACCTGTGTAAATCTGGGTTAGAACTGATCTACAGTAACCCATGCTTGTCGTAAGAGACGACACACAGGATTGGGTGGTCAGACTCGCTGACTTGGTTGACACATTCATGGTATCCCATCTCCCTAGATCAATGTTCATGATGTTGATCACTGGATTGGTGCAGAGACTCAATTATTTACAGACCGGCTCAATATAACTGGAAAATTACTGAATGTGGCGTAAAACTCCACTCACTCACTCACTCACTCACTCACTCACTCACTCACTCACTAATTGTGATTCTGCATTCCTACTTTTAGTGATTCCTACTTTTAGTGAATCCCATCACTTTTAGTGAACCTTGCAACTTTAATTTTTATTCATTTTAGATTTGATTAAAACTTGGTTAAAGATTATCATATCAAATTAAAAAATAACTACTATGATGAATTGCAGGAAATCAATTTGAAATTGAAAATGTAATTTGTCCTATTTTCCCCCCACTGATACAAATGTTTGGGTAAAATTTATACACCAAGCAAACAATGTCTAGCCTCACTGCTGCATTCCACAACCTGTCCACCTATGAATTATGCAAACAGAATATAACACAAGGTAAATCCTGTGACAAGGAAGTATTTGGGCTGCACAGTGCTTGTGATGTATATGCTTTGTAAATATGCCAGCTAGCCCGTGAAATTCCTTATTTGGATGTAGATCCACAGCAAAATGCTGTCATAAGACGCGACCAGTTGGATCGCATGGTGACTTGTTTAACAGGTGTCGGGATCAATCGCTAGATTGTCAAATGATTCAAAACCCATATTTGCACCCCATCAAACTGTTTATTGATGGGGGGCGGTGGGGTAGCCTAGTGGTTAAAGCGTTGGCTCGTCATGCCGAAGACCCGGGTTCGATTCCCCACATGGGCACAATGTGTTAAGCTCATTTCTGGTGTCCCCCGCCGTGATATTGCTGGAATGTTGCTAAAAGCGGCGTAAAACTAAACTCAGTCAGTCAGTCAGTGTATTAATGGCACTCTTAATCTCATGGGCATGGCCATTTTGAATGGCAGTACTCATATCACAGGAAATCCAATTTTGGATGATAAGATAGTTTGTAGGTTATTTCATGGTCTGGGACACATGAAGCTGAACTAATCTTGCAGTCATGATTGTGTTCAGGAAATCCAGGCCTCAAGTTTACAGGTTTACATGATGTTAACCGACTTATTAACAAATAATTGTAATGGCATAATTGTTGTGCTATTTTAAGTTTAACTGCATCATCAAAAGGTATGGGCTCACATATTTTCACAAAGGCACATCTAAATTACCTGTTGCCCTATGGCACCCTTTGATAAAATTGCATTACTATCCCTGTGATAATTGGGCATATAAAAAAACATTAAACAAATAGACAAAGATAGGTATCAATCACCAGATGGTTCGGTCCGGAACTTAATTATTGACAGGCAGATGTTATACAGCTGGAATATTGCTCAGTGGTCATTAATCAACAAACACTCTCATATAACCAATGACCCAATAAAATCTCTCATATGTGAAACCAGGAAGGAGTGATTCCTCTCACAATGGCTCGTATCTTTTGTAAATCTGGCAATCATGCCTGATGTTTTACCAGGACACATGAAGGATGACTTTCAAAACTATTGACAGGCGAAGCTCTTGCATTCAGTGCTAATCTGACGTGTCCTCTTTGTATGTGTGAGGAAAGAGTATTTCGAAAGACAGTGTGATTTATTTTAACAAATGGTTATCTGACAGCTGACTTTTATCTGCTTATTATTATAATTCATGTCTTTGAATGCCTCACACTTTTAAATATAATTAACATTTTATTACACAGTAATGGAGATGTTGAACTTCCTTGGTAATAAAACCAGCAGTGAAGCTTGAATCTTGTATAAAAAGTGCTTTGTTTAGGCTACTCAGACACACCTAGAATTTGTATTAAATACAAAATACTACTTCTACAGCAGCTTAATTGTGTTTCCTTAGTATCACGACAACAGATGTCTTTTTGTTTGAGTTTTGTTAATAAAACGTCACACTTAGCTGTGATCCAGTGGTATTTGAATAATGATTTGGGGAAATCAAGTGATTGACATTATGAGTATCTATGTAAAAATTGTGATACAATGACATGTATCAACCAAGTCAGCGAGACCCGCTCTAACCTGACCACCCGATCCCTTAAGTCTCTTCTTACATCAAGCATGGATTGCTGAAGACCAGTTCTAACCCAGATCTTCAATACCGGGTCTAACAATAGATGTTGATAGGAAATATGCTAATGGCATTGATTGGTATTGGTTACTGGATTGTCTCGTTCTGACTTGAGTATGTCCAGGCTGCTATCATGTACTTGGTACATATATAATGTTGAATGTGGCAACAACAAAAGGCAAATTCACACATTGCAAGCCTCTTTGAGTGTGGCAAAAAAGAAGGCAATTCACACATTGCAAGCCTCTTGATTACCAAGGTCTTTACTCATTCATTTCTTACCCATTGTACCAATTTAAATGGTTAATGAATACTAATTTGACCAATTCTTAGGAACTTTCAAATCAATTTTCAACATGGCCTCCATGGCGGCCATATTGAATTTGTTATTTTGTTTGTCCATCTCTGTTCAGAAACAACAATAAAGCTTTACAATTATGCTTTTAAACGAATTGTTGATATATTCATTTGAACACATTTCAGTGTAGAGGTAACACGTTGCACATTTCCGTGGAGAGGAAGCACATTGCACATTTAAGTGAAGAGGTAGCACATTGCACTAGGGCTGAGACAATTCACCGATGCATCGATACATTTGTTTGATACAGCTATTTATTCGTCGGCAGGTGTATTGCTACAAAACGATATACAACTTTTTTTCAAAACAGTATTATCTTAAACGTGTTAAAGTAATTATTTAGAGAAAAATACGCAAGTATGATAGAGTTACTTGTTTGTTTATTACAATAGTGTTATTGTAATACACAAATACCTTGAAATAAGTCATTTTATATCTAAATACTGAGTCATTCTTTCAAGGTGTATGTTGCATGATGCGTATCGTATCGCATGTAAATATCACGATATGTATTGTATTGTGACATAGTGTATCGTCCCAGCCCTACATTACACTATTGTGTTATTAAGAATGATTTTTTTTCCGTTCCAGAAAGTGACATTCGGTTCTCATGCTAAAGAAGTAACAAATCTTGAAGGTATGTTTGTACTGTAACAATGGAGATAGTGAAGCCACATAGCAGGAATTTGAAGTCGGATAAACACGTTAATTGGTGAATTTTCTGGTGAATTCATTTCAATTTGGCTAGCTGTGGTGCTGCATTCATCTGAAGGTCCACTGTGCTATGCAGAGTTGCATCCCTTGGGTAGTGTGATTGTGATGTTACAATCACGTGTATGCTTGTGGGTTTGAATCCTGGTTCACCTTCATTATGTTTCTGGGTTTGTCTGCACCAAACCCGTGCTCATTGGTTGCACAAAAGTGATAAACGTCTGAGACTTTGGGCATCACACATTCTACCATGACATTTAAGTATGTTCGGTTTTGATTGGCTGTTACTAGAAAAATTAGAAGTGAATAATTTTCAATAACCACTTCTGAGAGCCGGTTCACTGCGCGTAGGAATATTTTGCACTCATTAACCCTTACAAATGTAAACAAACATGTCATCTGAAACTGTTACGTTTGACCTTGGCGATTTCTTTGATGTGTTTGGATCGGATATGGAGGATAATATTGACCCAGCCTGGTTCCAACATGAAATGACTGAACAATTAATCACCCAAAGTAATTCTAAGTACCGAAGGTATGAGTATTTAAACGTCATAATGTCCAGTTTCTAAGTGTCGTAGTCTAGGCCTGTCTAAACACTATGCAAGGGTAATGAGTGCATATTTTATACGCGTTTTATTCATGGTGCATATGTCATGGTAGAATGGAGATAACGTGTTCGGTTTTAAATGACATATAGCAGCGTTCAGCCAACTATAATCACTTCCAAAATGTAAACACAATAGGATTATCTCCTAATTAAACTCACATGCTGGGATATAACAGGAACACTGTTTACACCAGTTTCAAACCCGACTCACTGACATATTTCATACAGATTATTCATTTACTAAACATGTATTTGATTATCTGTTGATTATTCTGTGCATAGTCAATTATTTTTTAATTCATTATCTAATGTTTAAGCTTTTATGGTATGAGTTATGTTTTTTGGTTTATTAGGAATCTAACTATTCATATGTAAAATATTAAATTAACAATATCACTTTTGCAACAGATCCACACTGTGGTTGTTGGTAATGCATTTGTAACGTATGAAGTATAGTTAGTTCACTGGTTCTTCATCCTCGACAGATGCACTGTTCAAGCCTGTTCAGAGAGTCCAGAGGAACGCCCTGGTCCTTCATGTAAGTGTTCACATAATGTGATCCCGTATCAGTAGATGTACAAATTGGTCAGATTTTAACAGGGAAAAGTTTTGTATGTGAACTTTTTTTAGCATTATTCTTACTCTTTCATCAGTTCATTAGGTGGATTCACCTGATGTAAGGGCCGGTGAGGTATCCTAGTCGTTAAAGCGCTCACTCGTCACCCCGAAGACCTGGTTAGATTCCCCACATGGGTACAGTGTGTGAAGCCCAATTTGTGGTGTCCCCAGCCGTGATAATGCTGGAATATTGCTAAAAGCGGCGTAACACTAAACCCACTAACTTACCACCTGATGAAAGCGTGAAAACATGCCAAAAGGCTGTGTTAAAAATAATACAGAAGTTGACTTCCATAAATAATCACTGTTATGTGAATCACTTCTAAATGCCATTCAAAAACATGGATTTGAACAAAACAGAAACATTGTCTGTTGATAGCCTCGTTTTGTTGACCACATCAATTACCATCTCTTGGTCTTGCTTCAGGATCTGATCAAGCACACACCCGAGGATCATGAAGACCACCGGCTACTGAAGAAGGCCCTCGATCTGTCACAGTACAACCTCGAGGAAATCTCATCCACCATAAGGGAGAGTGGAGCTCTGGTCAGTGCAGGGATTACCTCCCCTTGATGTTTTGCCTCAGGGGACATAACTGTGGTTTACAATGAATTTTCTACAGAAAGCAGTAAATTTTGCAAACAGTTCTGGGTCCTGATCCACAAAGCATTTGTAACATGACGACATGTCATAAGACAACAAAAAATGAAATGTCATTGTGAATCATTTTCGGAGGTTTTTTATAATCTCTTCAAAGATGGATACAATGTGTGAAGCTCATTTCTGGTGTCCTCTGCTGTGATGTTACCAACATGTTGCTAAAAACAGCATAAAACCAAACTTCCTCACTCCTTTCTCTTCAAAACAATGTCCCCCGAAATATTCATGACCCCTAACTTATTTTCTTCAGTATTTGATGTGCAGGGTCCCGTTCCTCAAAGCGATCGTAGCGCTACGACAGTCGTAAGTCTATGTTAAAGTATGGGAGTTACGATCACCTTAGCGCTACGACCGCTTTAAGGAACGGGCCCAGGTGGACAATAAGTAACAGTTATTGTATGTGTTACAGCCCGAGGAGAAGCGCCACCTGGTGAAGAGTAGTTTCCTCGTGGAGCTGGTGTCGGGGCAGCGTAAGGTGCGCTACATCTTCCTCTTCAGCGACATCCTCGTCTGCACTAAGAAGGAGAGCAACAGGTCAGTCATCATTACAGGATTTATTTGTACAAATAACTGCAAAAATAATGACAATGTACTGTCAAAGTGTGTTGAAAGTAGCTGGAATGGGATCAGTGTTTCCGTTCTCCGGTATATACCTGAAAATCGCCGGTAAAATTTGTAAGGGACCAGTAAATTGAAAGCCTGCCGGACACTGTGTCTGGTAAATAATCATGTATTAAAATGAAAACATCATGGGTAAGCGAAATGACAGTCTTGGCTGTGCTTTCATGGTCACAAAAACTGTTATGCTTTGGAAATACCCAGGCTAAAAATAACTTTAAAATGAGTACTTACAGTATGGTAATAGGATATGACCGGCAAATTTCATTCATGACCGGTAAAATTTTAGGTCACCAGACACAGTGTCCGATAAATAATGAAGTCAGAGGAAACACTGGGGATGAAAAATTAACGTTTTCTGTTCAGTGTTTTCTGGTATATTTTGACACTAACATTGTAAGTGAAGTGATGTTAACTTTTGGAATGCTCATCAATGTGTTTTTCTTCGTTTCCAGGAAAGCGTCAAACTTTGATGTGAAGTGGATCATTCCCCTGTGTAGACTTACAATAGATACACACTTTGACTACCAAGGTTAGTACACCTTTCTTCCATCTAGCATCTATCTGACTACCAAGGTTAGTACACCTTTCTTCCATCTAGCATCTATCTGACTACCAAGGTTAGTACACCTTCTTCCATCTAGCATCTATCTGACTACCAAGGTTAGTACACCTTCTTCCATCTAGCATCTATCTGACTACCAAGGTTAGTACACCTTCTTCCATCTAGCATCTATCTGACTACCAACGTTGGTACACCTTCTTCCATCTATCTGTCTCGCTACCAACATTCCAGCTCTCCATAATTTCTTACATTAATCCTAATTATGTATCATGTAGAGTATCTTCATACTTCATGAATACATACATCCGTCATCTATCTCTTCTTCTGTTTCCATCCTTTGTCTATCCATCTTTCAATTCTTCTATCCATCCTTCAGTCTATCTGTGGGGCTGTGGGGTATCCTAGTGGTTAAAGCGTTGGCTCGTCACGCCGAAGACACCACATGGGTACAATGTGTGAAGCCCATTTCTGGTGTTCCCCGCCGTGACGTTGCTCGAATATTACTAAAAGCGGCGTAAAACCAATCTATCTGTCCATCCGGCCCATGTATCCATCCATCAATTTATCCTACGTCTCACCATCATTCCATCTGTACATACATTCTTACATCTGTGCATTTTTCATCTGTCAATTTTGTTCGTCCATTCTTCCACCATCTCTTCATCTGTCGCTCAATTCTATCCATGTATGAATTCTTCCATCTCTCCATTCTTCCATGTATCCTTTCTTTCAGTTACCTATTCTTCCATCCACACATCTCTTCATCTCTTTATTTTTCCGTCAATCCTTTTATATTTCTCTCCATCCCTCTGTATTTAACATGTCGAATACTTTCATTACAAATAAACCCGTACCAGGTACTTATGGGGGCGGTGGGGTAGCCTAATGGTTAAAGCGTTGGCTCGTCACGCCGAAGACCTGGGTTCGAATCCCCACATGGGCACAATGTGTGAAGCCCATTTCTGGTGTCCCCTGCCGTGATGTTGCTGGAATATTGCTAAAAGCGGCGTAAAACCAAACTCAGTCAGTCGTCAGCGAAGACCTGGGTTCGAATCCCCACATGGGCACAATGTGTGAAGCCAATTTCTGGTGTCCCCTGCCGTGATGTTGCTGGAATATTGCTAAAAGCGTCAGTCCAGGTACTTATGTGAAAGTACAAGGGTTTTTCTTCCATTGTAAAACCAAACTCAGTCAGTCAGTCAGTCCAGGTACTTATGTGAAAGTACAAGGGTTTTTTCTTCCATCTGCCAATGATTAGCCAGTTAATTAATAGTCCAAGTATTTAGCTCTGACTGTGCTGTAATTCTTAACGATGACTGTACATTTGCAGATGATCTAAAACACTCTCAGAAGGAGAATATCGAGGCAATGAAGAAGAAGATTGGCCAGCTGAAGTCTGACCTGAGAGATGAAGTGAAGAGCGAGGAGGCTAGAGTGGTGAGTCACGTAGCATCTCATTCTGTCACGGACTCTGGAACTCAGCATTGTGATCTATAAATACATTTCAAACAATATTTTTTGAATAGTTTTTAGAGTCCTAGTATCTTCGGAAATGTTCAGTGAAATAAAAATGACTGAAAAACTTGTTACATTCCCCCATTATGGCATATAGAAGTTTACTTGTCTGCCATAAAGAGATCATGCATACACTAGCTTACCAGGTTAACGAACCTTCATGCTGTTGTGTTTCAGTCGAAGCACTGGTCCATCAGTGGTTTAGCTGCAGCCCGCAATGTAGACAAACTCAAGAGAAAGATCCATGAGCTGGTAGGTACTCTCTGAATGACGAAAGACCAGTGCTGTAGCAATTTCCTAGGATTTGTGCATACTGCTTACAAAGTTTACAAAGGATGGATTGCTGACTAATGGTTAAAGTGTCCGCTCATCACGCTGAAGATCTGGGTTCGATTCCCCACACGGGTACAATGTGTGAAGCCCATTTCTGGTGTCCCCCGCCGTGATATTGCTGGAATATTGCTACTCACTCACTCACTCACTCAGAACTGGGACCACTTACCTCACAAACCCAGACACTCACCAGTTCACTCACTCACTCCACCCACAAAACCTCACCTACCAACTCACTGAAAACTCCACATTCCACACATTCAGCCACTCACTCACCCACTGACCTGGCCAGCCACTCACTCACCCACTGACCTGGCCAGCCACTCACTCACCCACTGACCCAGCCACTCACTCACCCACTGACCTGGCCAGCCACTCACTCACCCACGTGACGTGGCCAGCCACTCACTCACCCACCCATTGACCTGGCCAGATGCTCACTCACCCACCCATTGACCTGGCCAGACGCTCGCTCACCCACTGACCCAGCCACTCACTCACCCACTGACCTGGCCAGCCACTCACTCACCCACTGACCTGGCCAGCCGCTCACTCACCCACTGACCTGGCCAGGCGCTCACTCACCTACTGACCCAGACGCTCACTCACCTACTGACCCAGCCACTCACTCATCCACTGACTTGTGTTGCAGGAGGCCCAGCTGATCCTGCACCTGCCCAAGCTGGCGGTCAAGCTGACCCACGAGGGAGGGAAGGTCCACACCCTGCTGATGACCACTGACTACGAGAGGGAGGAGTGGCTTGAAACCATGACATCACTCAGTAGGAAATGTAAGTAGCAAGGAGTTAAATGGTGGAAAATAGTGTTCATTTATGATATTCAGAAAGTCATTGTCGTACCCGGATGTTGAGGAATAATACCTTAGAGTGCCATTGAAATAGTAATACAACCAGAGCCCTTGTACCAAGTGATCTTAGCGCTAAGGCTATCATAACTACCATGCCTTATCATAGGCTTTCGACAGTCACGGCATGAGGGTTGTTTTGTACAATGACAAACAAATGTTAGGGCAAAAATATCTTAGCACCATGAAATGGTAATATAACCATGATGTCTTGTTCAGAGCAATCTTAGCGCTAAGATGATCATAACTACCATACCTTTACATGGGCCTTCGACAGTCACAGCATGAACGTGACAATGGCATCGTGGACTTTAGGTCTCAAGTTCCTCTTGATTATCATCACTGGATAACTCATACTGCCAAGTAGGAGGGAAATGGATTCCAGACTGACCATGGCTTGCAACTGGAAAAAGAAATCAATTTTGCCAAAATTTCGGATCTATCTCAAAGTTATTCCATGCATTAAAACTGCCTCTACAGTGCTTCTGTATACATGCGACTCGGTCTACTCAGAAAGTATGCCTTAAGTTGTTACTGTAAGGGCATGAATTCAGGACTTTTGTAATTTTTGCCGACATTTTCACCAGATTTGGATCAGAGTTTTGACCATGATGAGGCCAAGAGGAGACCATAAACAAGATAATATATTGGCACACAAAGTACCTGGCATTGACTTTAGGAGAAACCAAGGCTTGAGATAGTCTTATCCATTGATACCTGTAGGAGAGAAATGTCACTAGGAGACGTTGTAGAAAGATGTGTGTCTGATGCTGATGGTGTTCTGATCTAGGTGGCCGAGATGACCCAGGTCTCAGCACATACGAGGTACAGGAACTCGTCAACACCTCCAAGGCCCTACCTCAGGTCAACAAGTTCGGCTCTGTGCTCATGCAGAAAGGTAGGCAGAACTAAACTGTGAAATTACATGTGAGTTGCCCTGTTTCCAGGTCGATCACTGGATTGTTCGGTCCTGAATCAGTTAGATACAGTCTGCTTATGGTCACTCTGTGTGTTTCAGATGAGGAGGTGTTGAATGGGACTTTGAACGTGACTGTCCACAAACTGAACGGTCTGGCAACTCCTTGTGGTGAGTGTTCCCTGCTTAGTATCCTGGGTGCTGAGTTACAAAGCGATCTTAGCGCTAAGGTAACCATAATGCCTATACCATAACATACACTTACAACAGGTTGTTTTGTACAATGGCACCCTGGTTCCCAATATAAGTCCCCTGTATAGAGTCCTTGTTCCAAGAAAACCCTGTGTGCTTCAGTAAAACATTCTCAGAATCAGAACAACAGCCCAAAATGTGACTTTACGCTTTACGCGCCGCTTTTAGCAATATTCCAGCAACATCACGGCGGGGGACACCAGAAATGGGCTTCACACGTTGTACCCATGTAGGGATTCGAACCCGGGTCTTCGGCGTGACGAGCGAACGCTTTAACCACTAGACTACCCCACCGCCCCCCCCCCAAATGTGAACACATCAGTATGTGTTCCTGTTCCTTGGATTGAATTTATGATCACAACCATATAAAAATGCCAAAAATAAATTTAAAATTATTTTAGACAATAAAATACATGTTCCCCGATTCAGTAGAAGAGAACTAATAGAGAATACATCAATAAAACCAAATCTGTTTTCAGACACCTACTGTTGTGTGGAGATGGACTCGTACGATCATTTCTTCATGAAGGCACGGACCAACATCTGTCCGTCATCAGCAGACCCAGCGTGGGACGAGGACTTTGAGCTGGAGCTTGACGGGAGTCAGACGCTCCGTGTACTTGTGTACGAGAAGGTGGACAACAAGTCTGACAGGCTGCTTGGGAGAGGAGCTCTTGAGGTGAGAACTGGTACCAGTCTGCTTATGTTACATTGATGCGTAGGGTCACAAGAGTTGTAGGGTGGTTGGGTAGCCTAGTGGTTAAAGAGTTAACTTGTCAGGTTTGATTCCCGACATGGGTACAATGATTTTGGTGTAGACTTACGACTACTGTGGCAGTAGGTACCTCATACACTGTTGTACAGACTTGGAACAGTTGTAGTGGTTACATCTAACATAGATCCAGCTATTATGTGCTGTTCTTGTCAATGTGACTTTAAAAGCATTGTAGATAGGTGACGAAGGTTCCAGTCGGGTTCAAGGTTTATCTTGAAAGTTGATGTTAATCCTAACAACCATCACCATGATTAGGGGTGGGTATTGCAGAGAATATTCATATTGCGATATATTGCGATGCAAAAGCATGTATTGCGATATGTATTGCAATATGTTGCATGAAGTATTTTAAAACAAAAAACTACTTATAATCGAGTTAATTCTTGATTTATAGAGCAAAAACACAACAAAATCACTAGGCTTGATTAAGCTTTAAAAACAACTTTTAATCATGATAAAATAAAAATGTGAATAATATTTGGCACAAATGAAACCATTCGTGACCAACTCGTGTTATTCCGGGACAAGCTGAATAGCGTTACGGAAAGGGGCGAGTGGTGACGAATGAAATGAAACAAGGATATATCCGAAGATTTCCGAGTGTTACGAAGGTTTCCGAATGCAAGTCAAAATACCGGTTTTCAATCAGCGTATCTCAATACGTATCGTTTTCATGTCTGAACCGGTAAATACCGGTAAACCGGTTATATTGCGCAGCCCTAACCATGATGTTTTCTTTTTGTTTTCAGCTTAGCAAATCTTGGCTGAAGACAAATTTCCAAGAAAAAACAATTTCGATGAATGACGTAAGTACTACTGATTTATAAAACAGACACTTTCTAAGCTGAAATTGTTTACAAGTATTTTGAATGTTTAAATGGTTAAGAGAATTTCAGCTTTACATGATTACAGAGGACTCAGATGATTATCCAGTCAAACCATCACATGACTATCCATTTCTTGACCGTCTGCTCAGTATGTGTCGTGTTCCAGGTATCACTGGTGATATCGGTTCGTCACACCCCAGCTAACCGCACAATGCGGAGGACACCCTCCCAACAGAAGTCCGGGGTATTTGGGGTGAAGATCAGCACGTCGGCCCGCCGCCAGGGGAAGACCGTCCCGTCCATCGTGACAGCATGCATACAGGAAGTGGAGAAACGAGGCATGGATGAAACGGGGATTTACCGAGTGTCGGGGGTCACGTCCGAAGTGCAGAGGTTGAAGAAGACTTTTGATAAAAGTAAGAATCTTTAGCTAGAAAATGAATCCTATTCATTGCAAAGATTCTTCCTCTGCTGACTCCATTTGTCATGAAAGGATCTGATCTTCATTGGTTCTCATCCCAGGTCCATCTGTTCGCATCATCCACAGGCTAATGGTAATTGGATGTAGTGGATTCTGTGTATCTGTGTGATGGTGGATACTAAAATTGGGTATTGAATGGTCAAAAGGGCTGAGTCAAGGTATTGGTCTGGGCTTGATGTAGTACTAAGTTTTGCAAAAATTGGAATGAAAAATTCTCAATTTGGCCAGTTTCATGGACCCCGTTCAATAAACTAACATGGATACATTACTTACAGATGTACGAGCAGGGACGCATCTTGTGACGGACTGCGACATCCACGCTGTCACTGGCATGCTCAAGCTGTATTTCCGCGAGCTGCCCGAACCCCTCTTCACTGAGGCAAACTACACCAACTTCGTGGATTCATTACGTGAGTACAGTTGCTAGTATACATGTGGCAAGTCCGGGATGGGATTCCAGATGCCAATACCTCCTATTCTGTGGATATTCATGCATGATTGTGTTTTTGAAATGAGAACATTCACACAAATGGTAACACTTTGTGGATAAGTAACATCGGGAAGCACATGGAACAAACCTTGCAAGAGCTAGTTGTGGACAGCCTTTAACCATTCAAAATTGGCTTATGAACCTAGCAGGCAACTGGTTGTACATTTGATTGCCTTTCGTTGAATTTATATTAGAACTTTGAAGCTGATTGGTGGAGTGGGGTAGCCTAGTGCTTTACGTCACTCATCATGCTGAAGATCCAGGCTCCTCACATGATACGATGTGTGAAGCCCATTTCTGGTGTCCCCCATCGTGGAATATTGCTGGAATATTGCTAAAAGTGGCATAAAACCAAAACTGATCATTTATTCAAAGGCCTATCATTGTTTTCAATTCAAAACTCATCAGTTGATAATTTGAATCTTCAATAACTTTTGTTGATTTCCATTCAGGTCACATTAGGAGTAGTGTATCAGTTGTATACAGTTGGGAAAAACAAAATTAGCATTGTAAGTAAATAGAAATACTAGTGGGTTTCAAGTTTCAAGTTAATTTCAGAATACCCTTTGGAATACCTCCTATGTTTGGGAAACAATGTATTTGGAAGTGATTAATGAATAGGATGGTCAGACTAGAAGGCCCATGAAGATCTGGGTTAGATTTGGTTTTCTGTAAACCCATACTTGTTGAAAGAGGTGACTGATGAGAGCGGGCGGTCAGACTATGTCATCGTGTCCCATTGACTTTCATGATGAATTTTGATTACTGTAGAGATATATTCATTTGGTAATACTTAAATGTGATGACTGTTCTTGCAGGGTTGTCGGACAAGGAAGCTCAGGAGAAATGCATGCTGGGTCTCCTCCACAACCTCCCCGACGCCAACTACTACACCATCGTCACCCTGATGGAGCATCTAGTCAGGTAGGCAGGACTGTTCACCAAGACATGTAGTTTCCCTGAGTACTGATCCTTAGATGGAAGGAATGGTGTTATAGTGAAATCTTTTGTCGTGGACATTGCAGAAAGTAAGATAAGATAAGATATAACTTTATTATCCCATGGGAACTACTTTTTGCATCACAACAGTCTCAAAATGAATATATACAAAATTCACAAAAATATACACAATGTCATAGAAGTACCGTAAGTCAATAAAAATACTGAGTCAGTCATGCAAATTGTTTTTCTGTGGCAAATCTGGAAACAAATGCAGGGGTGTGTGTCCTTTGATAGTGGACCAAATATATAGAGCTGGATTGAGGATGAGGTGTTAAGTGACATACTGTTTGTTAATGGTCATTTGTCTTCCTGAATTAGTTACGTACAGACAGTCCCAACATTAATTGTTATGGTGTTCACCAGCTTTCATTCACTTAAGTCTGCTGTTGTGTAGCTAAAGGAAGCATGAAATGATATTTCTCTGTCATTTCAGAGTTGCAAAGAATGTGAAGGAGAACAAGATGACCATCCACAACCTTGCCACTGTCCTCGGTCCGACCTTGCTTGCCCCAGCTGTCAAAGATACAACCGCCAACCCTCTAGAAATGATGTCCAAAACAACCGAACAGGTCATGCATCAGTCAGCCATTGTCAACTACTTCCTTTCCCTCGCTGCTCAAGGTCGTAGTCTCAGAAGGTCAGCTCAGCTCTAGGTCAAGGTCAAGAAAATCTCAGAGGTGAAGGACATGACCTTCTGAACAAGATTTCTGTTTGTAGAACAATGTCTCAACAAGATAGAAATTTGTTCACTGAAACTTATTTTTTGTTGTTGATATTGAAAGGACGTAGTAACAGAAGCTTTGAATCTGTGTCTTCTGTAATATTTCCATACTTTCCTTCCATGTTGAGACCAAAGATCCATGAAACATTCCATCATTAACTTCAACATTGCAACACAGTGACCTTGTCTGAGATGTGATGTGTGGACCGTGAGGGAAATAGCAGATGACATCAGGATTTAAGCTGTGAAAGCCTCTGTTGCTCATGGTTCTGGGTAAATCTAAGGAGGTTTTGGTGTTGGACTTTCTGTGTTCATCACTGAAGGTGACATCATGAAGCTGATCTGGAGATCTTGGGTGCAACACGTGATGTGGACACGTGTCGGACAGGAGAAGAGTCATGACTTTGTGAGGTGTTGGATGTTTGAGATCAGAAAAGTCCTGATGTCATGACGTGTTGGATGTTTGACACATATGTCATGAAAACAAATCATCATGATGTCGTGAGGTGTTGATATCTGAGGACTGAAGTACCATGACGTCATGTGACATGTGAAACACAAGAGAACTGAAACACCATGTCATGTGACATGTGAAACACAAGAGAACTGAAACACCATGTCATGTGACATGTGAAACACAAGAGAACTGAAACACCATGATGTCATGTGACATGTGAAACACAAGAGAACTGAAACGCCATGTCATGTGACATGTGAAACACAAGAGAACTCAAATGCCATGACGTCATGTGACATGTGAAACGCAAGAGAACTGAAATGCCATGACGTCATGTGACATGTGAAACACAAGAGAACTGAAACGCCATGACGTCATGTGACATGTGAAACAAAACAGACAGACCTTGCAAGTGGTGTTTTGTACAGCCATGTCCCAATGTCACGTGACACCTAAGATGTGGGATGTTGGAGAACAAAAGTTCCCTGTTCTTAGGTGACTTTTCAGAGTACTGAAATGCTAAAATGAGACTGCAGGACTCGATAGAGCCAGAGTCAAGAAGACCTGAGACATGTTCAGGTGTCTCTTGCCTTTGTCTTGTGTTACATACCAACAGGATGGTTGGTACCAGCGAATGGTATGCTGTCCTTAAGCATATCCTGTCTATAATGTACACTGACAAGTTTTATGCGGTGAAGTGCTTTCTGTGTTTAGTGAATGACTGTGTTTAAAGAGCTATATACCTTTTGTTTGTAATTATCTCAAGTGCTTTAATGTGCCGACGTGAAGGATTTTAGACATTGATGACCAAGATGTGTTTCCCAATTATTCTATCAGTAGGCTGTATGTGCAGCAAGGTTTAAGATGTTCTATATTACGTATGCTGTGTTGCCAGGGACACAAGAGGCAGTGGGGTAGCCAAGTGGTTAATACGTTTGCTCGTCACGCCGAAGACCCAGGTTCGATTCCCCTCATGGGTACAATGTGTGAAGCCCATTTCTGGTGTTCCCTGCCGTGATATTGCTGGAAACTTGCGAAAAGCGGCTTAAAACTAAACTCACTCACTCCAAGAGTATGAAAGTTGTCATTCTTTCAATGATCGCTACAGCCTTCCCAAACAACATTGTTAAGATGTTTGTATTTTTTGGTTTGTATTAATTTACACGTTCCCATGCTATTTATTTTCCCTGCATGCACTGAAGCTGTTTCCATAGCGACTGATTGTTATGGTCTTGATGTGTTTGTGTGTAAACATTGTATGGAGAGATATGCTTGATATATACGTCTAGTCTTTGACTGCTAGCCACATGGCTGTGTGTTGTTCCAGAGTGTTCTGACAGGTTTCCATGGAGATACTCTGTTGCCATGGTTTCATTGCAGTTGTGTCAGACATAGTTACAAGTAACAGTTATGCACCATCTAAAAAATGTTTATGTTGTGTTGTCATCAACATGTTACCATGGTAACAGAACTTATATCCAAGGTTACCAATTTTAGTCATTTTACCATAGTTAAATGGTTTTTGGTGATACAGAGCACACAGAATACTGTAGTTTTAGAGAAAAAGGTGGCAAATTTATTTTGCTGCTGTTAGTTTAAATTTAGTACCAAGTACTGATTGTAGTATAAACATTTTGAAATGATATTTAAGTAGATCTGTTGATCATTCCATGAAGCCTGTACAAAATGAAACCTTCAGCTTATATAGAACAGAAACATTCTAGTAGACTGTACATAGTTGTATATTCATGTCCAGTTGTAAATAGAAGAGAAAATTGTCCACCAGAGGGGTAATAACATTTGTCTAATTATTTATATTTTTTAATGTACATGTACTCTTGAAAATAATGTACCTGAAATCCAATACTAAGACAGCAGGTGTTCCCAACAAATCGTTTAAAGCTTGAGTGAGACTGTACATAACTCTGGCCACCTGTACAACTGGGGCCTGTTTCACAAAGTGATCGTAGTGCTATGACTGTCGTAAGTCTATGTTAAAGTATGTTAGTTACGATCACCTTAGAGCTACGACAGCTTTGTGAAACGGGCCCTGTAAAACCTCAGCAGTGGCTACACAGACATGACAGCTCCAGTTCTAGGGCCTGTTTCACAAAGTGATCGTAGTTGTATGACTGTCATAAGTCTATGTTAAAGTATGTTAGTTACGATCACCTTAGAGCTACAACCGCTTTGTGAAACGGGGCCCTGTACGACCTTAGTAGTGGCTACACAGACATGACAGCTCCAGTTCTAGATCAAAATCTTCAAGTGCCAATTTGTTTGTTGGTGATATATTCTGTCACAGACTTGATCAAGATTGATTTGATTATGAAATACGATGATTATACTCCATGTTTTTTATCGTGAACAAACTATTGATGTGAGTGGATGTAGAATGAAGCATGTTCTGCGACCCCTGTATGACTTACAGCGTGGACGTTGTTGTACAGAGCGTATACAAATGCTCTTCGTGTCTCTTCTATTAGTTGCTAAAGTAACAGATTACTACGTTTGTGTCCTGTGTTGCTTGGTGTGGAGAGTCCTTCAGATTCACTGATAATGGATGTTTATGAAGCCCTGACAATGGATAAATGTTGTAATAATGGATAGATTCACTAAAGCCCTGATAATGGATAGATTCACTAAAGCCCTGGAAATGGATAGATTCAATAAAGCTCTGAAAATGGATAGGTTGACTAAAGCCCTCATATATAGATTTACTAAAGCTCTAAAAGTGGATAGATTCACATAAGCCCTAAAAATGGATAGATTCAATAAAGCCCCGAAAATGGATAGATTCGTTAAAGCCGTGACAGTAGAACAGTTACAAAAGGAGTTATTTCTATAAAAATTCATTGTGAAAATTAAATTGATGTTGGCGACCCCCAAATGCAAACAACCCTGTGTGTAGAGATACACAGTTTGTGTACCTGTTATTTTGTTGTTGTCATGGTTATTGTCAAAATATACCAATGCAAAAAAGTTCCAGATCATGAGTGTTTTGGGTTACATTTTTATGAAATGGTTGCCTCAGTCTACCTCACAATAAAAAATCCCCAAAATATTCAAGATTCCCCAAATATTTTGTGTTGATTATATGAAATTCATTGAAGTTATAAACTTGCACATCACCAGGAAATGAATTTTTTTTATTTGAGAAACCACCTGAGCCATTCCAAAAGAGAAAGACGTATTTAGGTTTTGTTGGAAAGTTTATATTCTGACATGTAGATCACTTTCATATGTTAAGAATTTAATACAAGAATCTCAAATTGGTGCTTTTCGTAACCACACAATAATATACTGTACCATTTAGGTCTTTGTTCATCATTGCATTATTTCAAATTGATTTCAATTTGCAAACAGGACCAATCTATTTGTGCAAATTTGCACTATTATTCCAACTTGATGCGTGCTGTGACTGCCCAGTTGGGCCTCGGGGTAGCCTAGTGGTTAAAGTTTGCTCGTCACACCAAAGGCCCAGGTTTGATTCCCCACATGGGTACAATGTGTGAATATTGCTAAAAGCGGCGTAAAACCAAACTCTCTCACTCACTCACTGAGTCCAGTTCCCCCAGCCATATTCTCATCACTAATCACATAATGATGTCCATTCCTGTAACAATGTTACTTTCATTGTTTTCAATTTCTTCTCTGTTTCTTTAGATGGGTTCACAAATTAATTTTAACAATGTGAAAGTCACTTCCTTCTTTGAGCACAGGGATGTCTGGTAGCACACTGGTTGAGTGTTCAGTGTTCAGGACTTGGACCTCGGTTTGATTCTTGAGATGAGCTGTGATACAGCTGCAATATTGTCACAAGTCACAATTTTATGAGCGCTTCTTGTAGAGCAGGCTTTGCTCTTTGTTTTTAACATGCCTCATCAATGAACAGAACTAGCTCAGTAGATAAAGTGCTCTCTCTTCACAGTGACAGGGTTTGAATCCCATCATATGAATTCTGTTTTAATACACTATATGATGTAGCTGTACTTTGATGAAAGTGGGGCAGTGGGGAAGTCTAGAGGTTAAAGCGTTTGCTCGTCATGCTGAAGTCCCGAGTTCGATTCCTCTTATGTGAAGCCCATTCCTGGTATTCCCCACCGTGCTATTGCTGGAATGTTGCTAAAAGCGGTGTAAAACTAAACTAAACTAAACTAAACTCACTCCAACAAAATGTCAAGATGACTTACACACTAATGATGAAAGTGGTGGTAAGACCACTCCTTGCATTCTCCTTTTGAACACCTTCAACTTACTCTCTCATCAAAACGTTCTCATTGATGATTTTTGTATTAGATTAACTTACCTCAATCACGATGTATTAGGTTCAGTCCCTCTTGTCAGTATTGTGTGTACATTTCTATCATCTGTGACGTTTGTGTAAATATTCGTTTTGTCTCCATGCTTTCATTGTGCATTAAGGTATGAGATATGTAAATAAAATATGGAAGTAATTCACAAGTGCAATGGTTCTATCGATTAGTTCGACATGAATTTGATTATACAGGAAAAGGGCCCAAACACTGAAGCAGGGCCCTGATCATGATTATTGAATTGTTGTCGTACTGTATCCCTTTTTTTGAAAGAATTTAACTTTTCATCCCACCTTTAATCATGTTTATCAAGTTTCTGACTGAAAGCAACATTCTTTTTAAGTAAAGTTGAAGACAATTAAATTTTTACATTTGTCTTTTTAAGAAATTGATAACTCAAGAACGTGATTTAGCATTTACATTACCACTGGTATATATTTTGCCAAAATATATGAGATTTTTTTTAATCCTCTAGATAGATATTTATATTCATAATAAGTATACATTATGATGATGATTAGTGTATTATAGCTTAAGTTATTTCTGTACCTGTGTGAGTGTGTAGTTGTGGATTGTATCATCCATTGTAGGGGCGGTAGGATAGCCTAGTGGTTACAGCGTTAGCTTGTCACGCCAAAGACCCGGGTTCGATTCCCCACATGAGTACAATATGTGAAGCCCATTTCTGGTGTCCCCTGCCGTGATATTGCTGCAATATTGCTAAAAGCGGTGTACAACCATACTCACTCACTCACTCATCCATTGTTGCTTTTAGTCAGAACAGTCGTGTAGATATCAGGAAACATGTCACAAATCGCTAACTATTCATGCTGAAGATATATGTAACATTAATTTAATATTTTGCAGAATGTGTTGATGTATGTACACTCGTTATTATTTTCAGTGGAAAATAAACTTCTTATTTCTGGTGATGCTGTCTTCTGTCACTCTCTTTAAGGCAAACTCTTGTTTCTGCCCTTGCAGAGCTTTTGTGAGTTTGTGAGTTGATCTAGGAATGCAAGAAAAGGTTTACTGTGCCAAACCTGTAAGGAATTCAAAGCCTTCCCTGTATCCCACACTTGTCTTTGGAATAGTTAGAGCATTCACTCGTCACGCTGAAGCCCTGGGTTCGATTCCCCACATGGGCACAATGTGTGAAGCCCATTTCTGGTGTCCCCCACTGTGACATTGCTGGAATATTACTAAAGGCATATATAGAGAATACTACACGAGGTCTCATTACATACGAAAAGAATGTCCTTCCTATGGTATCCGAAAGGTCAGATACCATAGGAAGGACGCTCGTTTCGTATAATTCGTATGTAATGAGACAGAGTGTGGTATTTTATTTATTACCCACGTCTTACATGCATTAAATTGACAAAATAGCGTAGTTTTGGTATTGTTGTGGTTTCAAACCGAAACCGGTTTCATAAAGAGGTTGAGGAAGAATTTTGTTCTGACGTACACTTTTGCATGACGTCACTACGCCATTTCTCGTCTGTCCCCTTGGTAACAGACGTCACGATGCATGTCAGTTGTCATCGCCTCTCGTACAGCCTCCTTCAGTAAACTACTCCGTAGCACCCCGTTTCTTGGTTTGCAACTGCTTCACTCGGCTAACATCACTGGTGGAAACATTGCGTTGTTTTTTTCGAAGCATATAATGTCTCAGTTCGACTCACAATTAAACAGCGATGCGGCAACTTTCGCAATGTTTACATTCCCACAATGCATCTAAGTTGTAGAATGAATGAATTCACGTGTTTGTTATGAATGAACAAGTAGTTCCGTCACAACGTGACCTAACTGAGAGGTCATCGGTTATCCAATCAAATCTTTAGAATCTCAGGTCAAGTCGTTACGACACAGGTCAACGCGATACGACACTCGTGTGACGTACGAGATTAGTATGCAACTACCCATACGTTGACCACGTGGGTAATAATAGTAAAACCCAACTCACTTACGGCAAAGCACTGCTGTTCTCGCTGCTTATGGTGTCCAACAGGCAAACTGTAGTACAAATAGGTTTGCGCATCAGAGAGAAAAATTTCCAGTCTTCCTCTATCACTCACATATAGGAAGACTAGTCATTTTCTCTCTGTTGCGAGGGGTTGTGGGGTAGCCTTGTGGTTACAGCATTAGCTTGTCACGATGAAGGCCCGAGTTCGATTCCCCACATGGGTACAATGTGTGAAGCCCATTTCTGGTGTCCCCCCGCTGTGATATTGCTGGAATCTTGCTAAAAACGGCGTAAAACCATACTTACTCACTCTCTGATGCGCAACTCTATTTGCTCTACAGTTTGCCTGTGATCTATGAATGAAACAATTTACAACACAAAACAAAAGTACTTGAGAAATGACATTTATTCCTGTGTAAAACAAGACCAAAACCACCAGTGGCTTTTGTTGTTCATGTAAACAGTTTGTGTAGCTGATGAATGTGTGATGCCATTGTTCTGGCTTGTCGAAGGTTAATGTCCTAAACAGATATCTTGAGAACTATTGCTTTACAATAATACATCAATTAGATTTTCAGCTCTGCTCACCTCACATTTTACAAAGCGAGTTCCAGTCTTTCTTCACTTACTATAGCATGCCCTGTACCTAGTCTCACATAACACTCAGGGGTGTGGAAAGTCAATTATCAACTTGTTAGGTCAGGTCGACAGAAAATCAGTGTCGGTTGTTGGCACAATACCTCTAAATCTGGCCTTCCCTTATTCAAATTTGATAACATATTTGTAACAAGGACTAAATATGGCTTGGGAAAAGTAGAAACAAATTCTCATTTGCATCCAAGTTTGGGACCATCAAGGACTGCCTAGAACACAAATACTGTGTAACCTTTGTGAAACATTTTACATGACGTAAAAACTCAAACCATGATTTTAACTTAATTACAACCAAACAATGGATGATTTAATTAATCATGACAAAAATGACATAAAAACATTCATCAATGTCAAAACAAATCAAAGGCAGTCAAAATCATTTGGACAAAAGTCTGTATCTGTAATCGCTGGACAGGTGGACTTCTGTCACTTGACAAGTGAAGTTTAAATAATTACTTGACAGGTTCACTCTTTTTCTATTTCCACACCTCTGATGTTTTATATGAATCAGCTGTGAATATCAATGTCAACATATGCCTCATTTTAACCTATTTGTTGGGAAATCTTTAAATTATATAACTGCGGCCACAAACAAAACAATGCTTAACATGGTTAAAATACTTAACTATCACATGTTTATCCAACAGCAATCATATATGTCACAGTAGAATTGTTTGTAAAGATAGAAAATAAACAGGTCTCCTGATAATGACACAAATATACAACTGATAGTGAGACTCACAATCCAAATTTTCCTTCATATTGAGATGAACTTTGTCATAACTGATAGCCTCAAATCATGAACGCTGTCAAAAGAATAGCAATACTGGCACAGTCTGAATACAGCACTGGTCTGCACAAGGAAATGTTTGTGTGTTATACATTTAAATACCAGCGATTAGATACGTTCAAATACAAGTATTGATAAGTTTCAACCAGCAATGGAACATATGCTTCGAAGAGTAGCTAAAGTTTACTTCACTGAAATGTGATGTGTTGGACTTTAATACCTTCACAGTGGCAAAGGCGTATGAGGTCATTAAACCCTCTCTTTTGAGGGCATACCAAAACACAATACACTGTACTAGCATGGCACGCAGAACAAGAAACAGTTCCTTAGCAATGTATGTGAGTGAGTGAGTTTAATTGTACACCAAACTCAGCAATATTCCAGCTATATGGCAGCGGTTTGTACATAATCGAGCCAGACAATCCAGTAATCAACAGCATGCGCATCGATGTACGCAATCAGGATACGATGACATGTATCAACCAAGTCAGCGAGCCTGACAACCCGAACCCGTTAGTCGCCTCTTACGACAAGCATGGGTTGGTGAAGATCAATTCCAACCCGAATCTTCACCGGTCTAAGCAATGTAAGGATAGGCAACTTATCTTATGCAAGGTATTTCTACACACATGAAAAACACACAGGTACGGTCTATGTATAATTTACTGAACAATGACCTGGAATGTTGGTGATCAGTCTACAGTTTTACCATATTTTTCTAACATCTGATGACAATGAATCATATTTCAGTTCACAATACCAATGTGAGTTTAAAAAGTATCTAGTTATCACATTTTGTTCTATAATATATAAGAATGAAAGAAGTATTTTTCAAAAATTAATATTCATAACACAAAATAGTCAGTAGAATTGGATATCAAACAACAAATTACCATGGTTACATGTTTCTCACATCATATTCTTTACAGAACAATTCTACTGCAGAAAAACACTGTTGTACGCTTTTGGAACAAATGGGAATATATTAGCCTTATATTCTTAAAAGTGAAAACATGACTTCAGCAATTACGAAGACAAAAAGAGTTTTTTAAATCATTTCACTAAGGCAACCAAAACAGTAAACAGGCTGACTTGTCATCATTTATCTCTTTCTTTCTTTGTTTTTTAACACCGCTCTCAGCAATATTCCAGCTATATGGTGGCAGTCTGTATATAATTGAGTGTGGACCAGACAATCCAGTGATCAACAGCATGAGCATCGACCAAGTCAGCGAATCTGACCACCAGATCCCGTTAGTTGCCTCTTACGACAAGCATGGGTTGCTGAAGATCAATTCTAACCAGGATCTTCACGGGGTCCTTATTTATGATTTACTCATGTTTAATCAACCTACACTACTTGTTTGTGTGTCCAGTTACCATGGTAATACTTAGAATGTTATCAGCATATGTTCACTGAATTGACCATCAAATGTTGCTTATATGGTTTTGGGCCTAGACTGCCAAATAAATCCTCTGAGTGAGTGAGTGAGTTGGGTTTGACATCACTTAGTGACCAGTGATAGAGTAATAATAGAGTATATAGTGTGTCACTCTCAGGATGGTGTGGGAGGGGACTCTGAAGTAAATTCAAAAGCACAGGGGTCAAACGGTATACCGCGGTATTTTGCCTTCAATTCGGGATACTGTAATGCAATCCAAAAATTCTGTATTTTCGGTTTTCCGTACCATCATTTCTATCTAGTCATAAAATGAGTTTTGTTCACTCAAAATATCAAAGATTATGGTTATTTCTTTTCCATGTTATTAAACAATGTAAGGTTTGGCTCTTGTCAATTTTCTTCATTATAATCATATCTCATATATATACCGAACCAAAGGCCCTGTACTGCAATATATACAGTACCGTGGTAAAAGCGTACCGTTTCACCCCTAGTAATGCAGGTCTAAGATGTTTACCACTTGGTCAAATCCTGGGGAACAAATCTAGAAACCTACAACCCAGATTCAAACCATGACCATTGGTTCTGCTGTGCCAAATAATCAAACTCCACACAGCGAACTGCAGTACTTTAGACAACTTGGTAGCTCACGCCCCTGTTTCCTCCAAGCCAAAAACATATATCAAATAGATAACACATTATACATAAGCTCATCAGTCTATGTACATAATTACATACATCATCACTATTTACATCCACAATACTGACATAACTATAACAGGGCTCGATTTAGTGCTTTGTTATTTGCACGGGTGCAACCCAATATTACAACGTGCAACCTAATTATTAGTCTATCTTGCACTAGGTGTAAGTCATTTTTTGAGTGGGTAAACTCTGCATAAAACATCTAAATAATTCAATAGCATATTTCTTACATTACATATTGCAATAAAAACAGTGCGATTGGAATTTGGCTGGTGTAACTAGGTTTTTATCTTAGGTTGCACCTTTTTAAGTAGGTTAACTTAAATCGAGCCCTGTATAACGTTTTCAAAGCTGATAACTTTGAAAATAAGTAAGAGAAGAAACATGGTCTAATACAACAAATCTTAGCAACAGTTGACAATGGGGATATTGGAACCTAATTTCTCACCATGTACCCATCCACGGATTGAACCTGGGTCTTCAGAATGTCTAACACTCTCACCACCCGGCTACCCTACCTGACCTTATGGAAATGATATGATGTATAATGTCAATATCCTACTTTAAGCCAGTAGATCCTATTTTCAGCATATTTACAAGACAAAATTCAGTCAATAATGAATTCTGTCTAATACTTTGATGGCCTGAAGGTAGGGGTAGATATCATTGGTTAAATCAAACTAGTCGGGTGCTATTTTGGACTAGTTGTTTGTGTAGTATATATTTGTTTTTGTTGCCAAAACTTCTGACTCTAGATTTTCACTAGTTTGAAACTCACACAAACTAGTAGCCTCTTTGCACCCTATATTGGCAGTCACACCATATTAGGCTGGAATGGGATAAGTCATCCAGCCTACATTGATGCATCAGTGTTACAAAGAATATTGAAGAATTCATTCAATTCACTTTACTATTGCATGATGATCATGCCAGATACAAACATTATTGTTTGTATCCATTTTACCAAGACCAAAATAAACACCAACTTTTAGGTACCCCTATAGGTACAGCTCTTAACATGCATAAGATATTGCCAACTGACTAGTTTTTTACATTTCATAACTGGTATTTATTGCTAGAAGTTTCCTCTTTGATAAGATCAGTAATCACAGGCTTGATGCTAGCAACCATTCAGATCAAAGGATTCTGGCAAACCAAAGGGAGGCAACTGTAAAGAGCAAACTGTTGCCCTTAACGACAAGACAATCTATTAAGATTCACAAAAGGAAAGACATTGAGATATAAAGTAGCTATATCTTGATCAACTTAACTAAAAACATTATTCTGTGACTGACAATAGACTGCTATTCATAAAAGTATGAGAAGTTGTTATTGACAAAAGTATCTTGTCTTCATCTTCAGCTGTTTCTTCTCTGATGCAGAATGTTCACTTATGCAGGATTTTCTTCATTTGTTTGTTCTGGTTTTCTAACCGAGGCAAGGCCCGGTCAGTTTTCACGTTAATGCGGTCAAGCTGGTCATTTTGGCGTCCAATCTCATCTCCCATATCCATGGCCAGGTTCTTCAGTCTCGACATTCCTTCACTCATCAAACCTGAAAGTAACATGTACGCAGATCAAGTAACAAGCACACAGACAGCATCAAGTTACATGTACTAGTATATGAAATAAGGCCCGTCCAACCGCCTGTGACGGGGCAAGATTTCTGATGGATGGTCTGAATTTACAGAAAGACAGTCCGATGGTCTGGTACAAAATCATGCCAGATGTCCCATCCCTTCGACTCTGACTCCAACGCTGAGTTGGATTTCTCTGAATACGACTGTTGTGAATAGACTGTTAAACAATAAAAACATTCTTCATCGTAACTAAAAACTGAGTTATTGTCTTTGGATTGTCTGGTCTGGTTAAATTCATGATGTCTCGCTGGGTTTTTGGCTTATTTCATACACTGCATGTACGCTGTCAAGATCAAATTACATTATTTACAAGCATCAGATCTTGTATGTCCAATTGATCATGACAATAGTTATCCCTATCATAACAGAAAATGCTTTATTTGGGCTGGTTGACTCAAAAGTTTTGGCACAGACTAATCTTGCTCTGCAACCTGGTATAACCAAAGGGAGATAACTCTAACACTAATTAGAGCTAGCATGTGTAGTTGATTTACAGCTTTACCACTATACACTGTGTAACAAAATTACATGTTTCAACAATGTCATGTGTAAGGTAAAGAAGGTTATTATGGTAAAGGACAACCGTCATCACCATTGATAACAATTACCATGATTACTTTGAATAACCTAGAAAACGGAAAGAGGTGAGGTGAGGTGAAATTGGGTTTAACGTCGTGCTTGAGAATATTTCGCTCATATGACGACGTGCATGCGTGTATATGTGTGTATGTGCGGCTGCTTGTACTAGCCCAGACTTAAGCTGGTTTCATAATGCTAGCCCACTGAGATACCATGCCGCAGTGAAGCATGAATACCCCACTCAGACACATTATACTGACTCCGAGCCGACCAGTCCTTGTTGTACCCATTAATGCCGAGCACCAGGCAGGCACCAACAAGTACCATATTTTAACCTCTTTTGATATGATGCGTCGGGGATCAAACCGCACGACCTTCCGCAGACTCGGCGGACGCTTCTAACCACTACACCACGGAGGCGGTCAACAGAAAGCGGGGATTCCTCAGTGTGTCATCTCTCATGACTATATCATCATGATAATTATGTGAGCATCTTGATGCTTATCTTCAGAAGGACCAGGTGAGCAAAATGACAAATATCCTTAATCAGCACTTCAGGATCTGTTTGATATTTCTGCAAGTTTTGTTGAAAGATATTGAATGGTTTTCGAGTTGTGCTCCAGAAACAAAACCCACCCCTCCCTTTTGAGACTAAGCCCAAAACGTTCCCAAGGAAATCGGGAAAAATTAAAATGACAAAAAGTAGAAAAAGGCACCACTTTCGGATCTGTGTGATATATCTGCCAAATTTTGTTGATAGATATTCAGCAGGTTTCTTTGTGTTAATACTGTTATGCACCGAAAATGAAATCTAACCCTCCCTTTTGAGAGTCCAAATCATTTCCATGGGGAAAAACAATCAAAAGGCCAAAAATCCACAAATAGCAAAAGGCACCTCTTTGAAATCTATCTCATATATCTACCAATTTTTGTTGAAAAGTATAGAACGGTTTTTGAGTTATGCTTCTTTGAGTTATGTTAGTCGGACTGATGGACGGACGGACGAGGTGTTGGGGGAAAATAAATTAAAATAAACACTCCTCATAGAATGAAGGGGTTTGCTGAAAGTGGACAACATTATTACAAACCGAACAGTGATCTTTAAAATTGCATTATCAGCTTCCTGGGGATCATACAGATTCCAGTGAGATTATTATGGTTACCATGGTCACAGCCCTAAGCATACCCACCTAGGTTGTCATCCATCTCATCTTCTTGAGCACTGTTGGTAATCCTGTGAACCATCTGTTGTTTCTGACCCCCGGTATTCCGGGCACCGGCCATGAACCGACTGTCAATGTCATTGTCGTCATAGAAACCACTAGTGTCCGTTTGGTTTGATGAATAGGCATCGTGAGACTCTCGGTAGGTGTCGACTTTGGATTTCAGCGGACTCGGCTTAGGTTCTGACTTTGATGGGGGTAATGCGTTAGGGTCTTTGTTACCACCCCACCAATTCTTGATTCCACCGAACACACTCTTGATATTGTTGAGATGTTTCTGAGATGTGGTGAGGGTACGGTTGACATCATCGGTCTTCTTTTCAATGTTGTTCAGCGTCTCTGCTTGACGAGACAGCTCCTAAAACAGAAATAGAAACAGTTAACAATGGTTAACATCATCAGACATGTTTGATAATAAACATTCGTTGCCAAAGATCAATATTTTAATCTGATCTTTGATAAGTCAGATCATTTTCAATTGTCACAATAACTACAAAGACACTATGCTTCACTTCCAGTCAGCATAAAATAGTGAATGAGTGAGTATGGTTTTATACTGTTTAAGCAATATTACAGCAAAATCACGATGGGGAACAGCAGAACTGGGCTTCACACATTGTACCCATGTGAGGAATTGAACCCATGTCTTCTGCGTGACAAGAGGACACTTTACCCATTAGGCTACCCCACCGCCCCCAGCATATAATAATCCAGTTATGATAAAACCTTGGGGTGAAACAAATCATCGGTGCAGCAGTTCAACAATACACAATGCATTTTCTATTTCAATACACAATGATACACTTGCTAAAAAATATTTCGTTTGCCATTCTTTAAAAGGTCCATTTAGCCATCAAATGGTGAAAAATGTTTTGTGATTAGAGTTTCAAGCTCACTACTAAACAAGATGCTATGACATGTTTCTTTGACAAACATTTCCTTGTGAACCAGTTATAAACATCTATTGTCAGGAAGTTTCCACAAGGGCTGATGTCAATATGTGTCATATTGTGATCTATTTATTGTCATATGTGACTGTGAAGTATCATTTCCCCAAAAATAATTGATCTAAGCATTAGGGCTGCAACGAATACACTATGTGGCGAATATGATACGTATCATGAATATTGGGTAACGAATACGAATAATTATTCACGAATACAATATTGTAGTTAAGTGATTGATGTACAATATGGAACGCCCATGTTGACAGTTCAATTTGTCACAGCAATAACCAGTGATCTCATGACACTCAAATTTGGTTTGTAATATACTCCCCATCAAATGTATAGACTCACTAGTGTAAATGTAGCCACTTACTTCAGTCAACTGTTCTAAACTAAATTTTGCAAAATATTCCATACTGTTTAAAGGTGCTGTTTATACATGAACTGATGTATTGTAAAACAAATTCATAACGTTGAAAAGATTATTGTCATGCATTCAATAAATGATGAAACTTGGTTAAAAATGGCGAATTCTTATCAAAACTTTACACCAAAACGCAGCTGTTCACATGCACGATATTTGCATATACTTTTCAGCAGTTTGATGCATGATCCTCGTCCAATTAATCTGCATAAGGTTTGCAGTTGTTTCCCCCAAGTTAGTGGAGAAATTCATCTTCTTTGTAACCATATGTACATACATAACATGTAGTGAATGTTTTAAGTGAGTCTAAACTTTTGATTGGTAGTATAGTTATAATCGACAGTACCATGTGTAGCCATGGCAAACTAACATGACTTGCGCTACTGCAAGGCTAGTACATATTCAATCCTTGCATATCTCACTTTCCAAAAGTACACAAGGGTTCAAGTAAAACATGCTCCCTAAAAAAATGTAAATATTCGTTAATATTCGGTTCTGGTGATGACGAATAACGAATTGAATTCATGAAGGGCTACGGTTCGATTCACCTAATATACGAGTGAATCGTTACAGCCTTACTTAACATTCATTCATTGCAGCTGTCTAGATTTTGGTCTGATCAATAACATTATTAACAAGTCACATCATATAGGATAGTTTATTTTGAAGACGTTATTGTTCACTGACACAAACAACTAATGGATTATCTAGGTCATGAAACAATGAGCATGTGCCATGAAAATTGTATTGCTGGATTATTAAGCAGTAAAAACATGTCACCTTTGTATTGTAAAGGTAAATAATCATAACATTAGTAAATAATATCTTTTTCTGACTGCGTCATCTGTGCTGTGTTATGGCTACAACCAAAATATTACACAGTGAAATGAAAAGGCAAAAACAGAACCTTGACTTGACAGAAACAGTCCTGTATCTTTAGTACACAGCTCTTGCTTTACTGATCTTGTGTTCCTCTACAATCCTTAGGGTCAGTTGTGTTTTGGATAGGGTAGGTTACTCAAACTCTATTCTTAGTTTTGTTTCGGATGGAGTAGGTTACTCAAACTCTATTCTTAGCCTTGGCTCATCTTTCTGATCAAGCACCCCTTTATCATTACTTAGGGTGACGTACCCCTTTTCTTTATGGTCCTAATGGTTGGGTACCCCTTTATTATCCTCAGGGATAGAAGTGAATTACTGCATTTCATCCAAGCAGGAGGAGTCTAAAGGAGTCAGTATTTGGGAACATTTGAGTATTATTTATTATGCTCAGAAAAAACCCCAAACTTTCAGTGAATTCAGGTATGAACACAAACACATCAACAGATTTGGCCAATACAAATTTGAAAAAAAATCACTAGACATAATGATTTACACTTAACTTTTATCTCCTGTATTTGTTCATAAACTGAGCCAGAAACAGCCAAAAAAAGACAACACATTTCCTCACAATATACTGGTGATTAGGTTAAACTATACCAAAGAAAGTAACTTCAAACAATTTTGAAGCAATGATCAGAAGAAATAAAATCTGAAACGATTATGTTATCAGTAATAATATACTCAAAATACTGTGTTATTATCAGTCACAAATTTTATGAATAGGTATGGTATGGGTTAGCAATATCATCTGTTTTAACAAATTATTCAAATGACATTAGAGGAAAATCTGTACAGTCATCAGGTTTCACAGATAAACACTGGCACTGGTCATTACAACAAGGTTTACAATTACCATGATTAGGTAAATTTAAGTTCATATCACTACAGTAGAGGCATACCAAAAATAATTAATTGAGTTTGGAGCTGTGGTAAAGTGTTGACTCATAAACTAACTCATTTGTTTCAATTAAATCTTGAAATGTGACTGGTAAAATTCAATACTGATGTAAGACAATGAGTGAGTAAGGTTTTATTACAGAACCGTAACCTAAATTCGTGGATAACTTTGATTCGTGGATTGCGGAAATTATCATGCAAGCTCGTAAATTAAGTCTCGACTGACGTCACGAAACGGTACTTTTGATGTACATACAATGCCACGCCTTGCTGACAAAAAAGTTCCGAATCTCTGCATTACACGCAAGTACACTAAATATAATTATCCAGCATTGGGATAAATAGCCCCAGATCACTAATACCACCATTACCAAATTTTATTTTGACAAAATTTCAAGTAAAAAAGATACCGTTAGCTCCAACCTTCGCACTTTTTGTTGTCTGCTTTCCCTGGTGTCAATACTTACTGCAGTGTTATGTCGTACATAGGGTATAAAGTAACCGACTACGTAATCCACGAAACAAGGTTACGTCACATTTTGTGGGCACACGAATGGGTGATGATTGCAAATGCCTTCCGTAAACAAACGTTTCATTCACAAGTGGAATATTAGGCATTTTCAATTTGCTGAATCAATGAATAAAATAATCAGTGAGTATACAAAATGAAATCATGCATTTAAAATATGACAGGCTAATGCTTTATCCACTCTACCCGGGCTTCCCAAATGTGGGACACGTGAACATGGTGAAAAGGAAACAGGCCATAGCTTCGATAATGAAATTGCCCTGTTGATGACTAAGCCTAAGAGCCACGACGTAGATTTGATGTTTCAGAACTATTATAAGCTCTGACTATCAAAAACACGATCAGTTCGTTTTCAAACTAAATCAAACAAAAGAACAAGAACAAATATCGATAATTCCCGAGTATTTGACCAACAAATCGGCTTTAACTAACCTCGGCAGTCTTTATTCCTGTATCTTCTGATTCGTAAATACTAGCGAGAGCTCGTCGTGTACTCTCCAGTTGTCGGGCTTCCGACTCATCAATCTGTCTCATTAATTGTTCCCGTCTTTCGCCTGCGTCATTGCTCCTGTTCTGTTCATTTGCTTTCCACGAAGAACCCCCAAAAGACATGTCATCGTCATCGTCATCTTCAAAAGGGTTGGAGCTCTTCTGGTACACAGCCATGTTGTTACAAGAAGGTGAAGGACGGTGTTCTATGCAAATCTTTACAAGGAAATGAAAGCGGAACGAAACGAAATCTAGGAAACGAAATAGCGATCGGACACATAATTCGAAATTTCCCTCTTCCTTTCTGTAATCCTTCGTTTCAAACAAATTTCCATCGTTTTTCAGTTGAGCTGACGTGCTTGTATTTTTTATGTCTTTTGACATCTGGCATATGCTTCATTGTATTCTATTATGCCCGATTTTATAATCAACATTTAACTTCCCACGTTTTATTTGAGTAAGAACAAAACAAAACAGGGTGCTGCCACGTGAGCTCGACCCCCAAAAAAAAAAATAAATAAATAAAAATAAAATAAAATAAAATAAAAATAAATAAATAAATAAAAATAAAAATAAAAAATAATAATAATATAAAAAATGGGACCACTTTGGGCCACCACGTCAGGGTTCATCTTAGCCTTGAAACGAATCTATACATAACCTTCATGCAATAAGCTTTCCAACGAGCTATGTCCATACAAGACATGGGGGCCTTAATCGACTCTAAACCCTAGCTAGTCTCTCGTACAGACCCTGAAGCAAATATATCCAAGAAAGCCCACACAAGTCTAGAAAATGTGGCAAGTCTAGATTTCCTCAGCTTCTGAAAATGAAGAAGGTCTCAGGGCTCCTTCTCATTATATTTTATATTTTTTTACTATGAACTTTTTTCAGTAGAATATGTTCATTTCAGAGACTAGTTGTTAGTCTAAACCCTAGCCTACTGCTCTCACGGGTTGCTACAGACCAACTAACCCGGATCTTCACAAGTTGATCAGTCATTGTGACTGGCTATTTCAGTTGGGATAAAGTTACGTTAGAATATAATTGTCATCCTGCATGAAATACGACTTTAATGAGTCAGAGTATGATATTATAACTGACATTCGTTTCAAGGCTAAACCGAGGTGACGTGCGAGCGGGACTGGTGTAAATAACTGCCTGCTCGGACACTTATGATGTCGCCAACAATAATGCAAGCAATATTGAATTGTATCCACCCCTCTGATGTCGCATGTGTGGTGATTGGTAGACATGCACTGTCTGGATCCCGAAGCCAGAATTCTGTCTGAATGAATAACTTTATGTCGTACATGTTTCGTTTCGTGTAAAACATCGTGCGATATGATTTTAGAATATACGGGGTTTCCGGTATTACAGTACAACCAGAAATTATTGAGAATTTAAAGATTGTAATTTTTTATATTTCTTTCACTCATTACTCACGTATTAAATGTGAATATTAGCAGAACGTAACTCCAGATTCAAAGACAGGTGAACAGTTAGTATTTTGTCAAGTCACCATGGGCAGCAATGCAGGCTGCAATGCGGCAGGGCATACTACTGATCAAAGAAGTTAGAAAGTCGTGGTCCATGCTGTCCCAATATCGGACCACCTCTTCTTTTATTTCAGCAATATATGTCAGATTTTTCTTATTGACACTTTCCTTCATAAGTCCCCAAACATTTTCTATTGGATTTAGGTCAGGGCTATAGCTTGGCCAATCTAATAATGTCATATTTTGGGTCCGAAACCAGGCCTGTGAATATTATGCTTTGAACGATGTTTTGGGTCCTTGTCCTGCTGGAAAATCCAAAAATTTCCATAGAACATGTGAGCAGATGGAAGTAAATGTCCCACGAGAATATCTGTGTACCGCTCACTGTTCATATTCCCTTCAAATACACAGAGGGGCGTTGCCCCTAACACAGGTATGCCACCCCACACGTTAAATTTCGGACTGTACTTTGGGCGTTTTTCAGTTTGTTTGGTCCAGAATTTCAGTGTATTAGGAAACAGCCACACAGAACTTTCATCTGAGAAAATCACATTGTCCCAGTTAAAATTTCTGTGCTGTAAGCACCAGTTCAACCTTCGCTCCTTTTGTCCAGGTTTCATGATCGGTGATGGAATTCCTCGACTTTTCTGCCAACCCATTGCATGCAGCTCAGTTCTAATTGTCTCCTTACAGACAGCCACAGTTCCTCTATCAATCATATCCAGCCTTAAGTTTTCTAAACTCCTTCGTTTGTTTTTAGAAACAAGAATACCAAGCCGCCTCCTGTCACCGACAGTCAATTTTCTGGACCTACCCGCGCCTCCCTGGTGCTCAATGCCATATCCAGCTGTCATATCCATTTGCAATATTTTTCAAAACATGATAAACAGTGGACAAAGGGATGCCTGTTCTACCTGAAATCACTTTAGCTGATCTGATGTCCTTGTCATAATACTCTAAAATCAACTTTCTCTTCTCTAAATCATCCATGCTGAGGATCATTGAAAATGTCGTCTGCTAGCAAGTAAACAAAGGGGGACAACTCTTCACAAACTAATGAAAAAGGATTAACGGAGTTGTTTCTCTTGAATGAAACCAAGCTCTTGATAGCTGGTCAAGGTTGTTTATACTAGAAATCCAATTAAACATATTCCTAAAATTCTCAATAATTTCTGGTCATACTATAGATAGACGGATGGGTGGATGGATGAATATGGATAGATGTGTGTGTGTGTGTGTGTGTGTGTGTGTGCGCGCGTGCGTGTATCCCAATTGCGTAGATCACTGCTCATGCTGTTGATCACTGGATTGTCTGGTCCAGACTCGATTAATTACAGACCGCCGCCATATAGCTGGAATATTGCTGAGTGCGGCGTAAAACTAAACTCACTCACTCACTCACTCACTCACAATCCGATTCACTCTCGCTGTCACTCTCTACGCCCAGTTCAGTTATCACTTTTTCTATTTCATGTTCAACTGCAATATGTTTGTAGCTTCATTTTTAAAGAAAGTTAGGATATTACTGACGATTTCTCGACACTGAGATGTGAAACGGCGACCTTGTCTCGGCTGTTCGGACATGTTGACAAATCAACTGACAAAGGTGCGCCCCTTCACAATAAAAGACCCAACCAGCTGTTGCACGATCATCGCAGTTCATTAGTATTCACTTGATCAGGTCAAGCTGAACAAGCTGTACGAACCTGACAGAACTGTACAACTTCAAAGTGTGGCAATGTTCAAAGGGAGTATTTACATTTCACATTTAGAGACTAACAGGATCGGGTGGTCAAGCTCGCTGATTTGGTTGACACATGTCATCGTATTCCAATTACGATCGATGATCATGCTGTTGATCACTGGATTTTCTGGTCCAGACTGGAATTATTTACAGACTGCCACCATATAGCTGGAATATTGCTGAGTGCGGCGTAAACCATCATTTCCTGGTTGAGTGAGTGAGTGTTTGGGGAAGTATGAGACTGAACCGGTTCACTTGTGACCCGGAACGAGGATTCTGAGGCGGTGTATGAGAAGATGAAACATTTCCAATTGAAAATCAGGTTTGGCTAAAGAATAGCTAAATCATTGTTTGGTTATGAGGTAGGAACAATGTTTGAAGGTAAAATATAAACCCAAAATTGAATGGGACCAATAAATTCAGTTCAAATCCAGGAAAGAATCTACTTTACCGGGCAAAAGAAAGCATACGATCGTGTTCAAAATGGGATTTGACCAAACAATAATCACTGAAAAACACAACGTTACCAGACTGACAACATTCGCCGAAAACCTCAAATATTACTGTCGAAACAGAACCGTGATAACTGTATTAAAATATTATTGCCAAATGACCACTTGTTTGTTTACGTTGATCACCTTGAATGTATACTTAAGTTGGCCCGGCAGTTAAAACCCGTGACACCTGTCGTACGAGGCTCCTGTAGTCCGTTTGGCTCAAAATCGGACGATGAATTGCAATCTATTTCGAAAACTACTGAACAGATAATACTCAACACTGATCATTATCAAAACATCCGACCAACTCTGTGATTTTTTTTTCAGAATTTATGTCCTAAAAATAAAAAGGTTGTTTAACAAACTATCATTAAAATTTCGACAAGGTTCACTATTTGTTACGAGGGAGAACTGCAAAGAGAGGAACAGCCAGGTATACGCGGAGCACGTGCACAAGTGCCGACAAAGTTATTGATTCATTTACCTGTGCTGTGCTGTCTCCATCCTTTCTCGCACACCTGGCTGATCCCTTTGCACCCCTCCCTCGTAACAAATAGTGAACTGTGTCAACATTTTAATGATAGTTTGTTAATATTTCAGGCATCTTGTATGTGACCATTAAATAAAGAGTAGTGTATATGTTATAAATATTCCGTTCTTTAGCGGCGGGGGACATTGCCATATTAGTGGCAAACACTTGTTATTATTGTATTATTAAATCTACAAAACGGTTTTGTGGATAACAACTTCTCTTATTCCTTATTTTATTATTAGCAACATTTTGGTTCAATCACATCATGATATTTAACAAAAATGAAAATCTTGTTCACTTATTTATTAATGCTACCATAGCAATCTCCTTGTTACTTTAAACCCTGCCCAGTCACTACACCTGCATTATACAAGCATCCAGCAAGTAGTATATACAATGGGGGTTCTGGACCACTTTCAACCAAAGCCTCTGCAAAGCCTTATTTCACAAGTAAGGCTTTGGTCGGATATTAGCTCTTGCTACCATTACCCCTACTATGAAAAGTTTGGGACGATAGCGGGACCTCCTAGCCGCGCCGGGGTATGGCTGGAGTGTGTTGGTATCCTGGGGCACCGCTATGCCGTGTTGACTGGAGGTAACACTGTGCCGTGCGGTGCGATCAATAATTCCGCTCTTACAAACCCCTACCTGGCCCATCCCTCCAAGTAGTACAAGTTAGGCTCGTCTGCTTTGATGTCCACTTTATCTATGTTGTAAGTTTTGACTGACCATATAGGATCGGTGGCTCGCTACGGCTATCACCCTCGTGTTCCCCGGCTGGTATAGATACCTCACTAGGGCCCTATCTGGTATCTGTTTCTCTTTTCCACGCAATGGAGCAGCCGATTCTGCAACTATTGATTTTAGTTTGATAGCGTCTGCGGTTTTGCCAGTGAGCGAGGGTGGTTTCATGGTTGATTGCCGACACC